CATAGGAATCTTTGTCGATAGTCAAGCGGCACTTCTCTCACTAAACTCTACTCACTACTTCCTTATTAGTTAGACAATGCAAGAAGGATCTGTTAAAGCTGGGTCGGCTGTTTGACATTACCCTTGTTTGGGTCCCTGCGCATAGGGACTACTACGGTAATGAACAGGCCGATGAGCTTGCAAGAACGGGATCTGCTCTTGATATTTCCGACGCCGTTTCAGTAGCAACTCCGTTAATTTACATCAAGAGCAATATCCTCAGATTCTTTCTTCAAAAAGCTGAAAATAGGTGGAATAACCTGGACACATGTAAAGGGGCCAAGTTATTGTGACCCTCCTTCAATGAGAAACGCACAAGACACCTTATAAACCGAAGTAGGCGGGACATATCGAGGCTGATAGCAGTAATAACAGGACACTGGGTAATAGGCAGACACGCAAGTCGGCTTGGGCTTCCTTTCAATGATCACTGTCGCAGTTGCAAAGACAGGTAAAAGGAAGAAACGGTCTTCCATCTCCTCTGTGAATGCCCTGCTCTGGCCGTAAAGAGAAACCGCTTCCTTGGCAATTACTTCATATCTAACCTTGGCGAAATATCTGAGTTTAGGCTTAATGATATCCTCAGATTTCTCACAGCAACGGGCTGGATCTAATACTACAAATACAACATCTGACGAGTGGAGTGGTCCGGTCAAAACGGAGTCTCTTTGATTCTACTTGACAGTTCGCGTGTAGTGAACTACCACGTAAACCAACCAAACCAACCAATGAAACAAGGTGAACTTATTTACTTTCATTGTTATGCATTCTAGAAAATTATTTAGGGTGTACGTTGTTTATGTATGGTTTGTTCTAGTTGTGTTTGAAATTTCTTTAACAAAGCGACATCAACCTGCTTTGAATGCTGTCAAGCAACTAAATAAAATATTTGTATTTTTGATGCTCTTGTTTAGAAGTTCGTCTGCGATCATGTTGTGCACATGTAATTTGCCGAAAATATTCCTTGTCAGAACAATACTAGCACCGACGTCTGCGCTATAATATAATTATTGGAATTTCCCTCATTCGTTTGATATCCATATTGTCATAATAGGTCGACTACAAATATTTAATATATATTTTTGAAATTTGTATGTACTTCAAATTACAATGTCCTTTAAAAAAGACAAACAATTAGAAAATGAAAAACTGAGCACGCAGTTTTATCACATAAATTATGTACTTTCATATGTATATGGTTTGGTTCGTGTGTGAAAAATGATGGTGGATGGTCAGCCTCGTTTACAAAGAGTATATTCGCGACGAAAGACGAACTAGGTTAGACGTTAGTGGAAATCAATGTCTTTTTCGGATGAATTGACTCTTTGTCGAACTACTGGGTATCTTCAGATTCTCATACAAAGGGAGCTTCACACGATCACAATTTACGTACGTAAAGTCTAATTAAAAAATAAAATGAAATTCCATCCGTATGACAAAAAAGATAATAAAAGTCGAATGATTTATATTTTTTGTGTTTACATGATTGATTTAAAATAATAACAAAGTAAGATGGAAACAGCCCAGCTGTTCGACAAAGAGTCAACGCATACGTAAAAGACAGTCATTTACACTATACCACCATATGGTTGACCCTAATTTCTATATAATGGGTTAATCGTCCCCAACGTACTCTTCGTAAACGAGAGCGAAGACAATCGTCACTTTACTGTACCCTAGGTAAACGAGTGAGGGGACACTTAAAAATTGTTTTTTTTTTTCATTGTACTTCAGAATGTAGATATTTTGCACATCTATTGGAAACACTATTATCATTTTCCACTAAAGTTTAACCATCTGGTTGTAACCTATTTGAAAGTTTTTCGTCACGAATGTACTCTTCGTAATCTAAAGCGAAGGCAGTTTAAATTTAAATAAGAAATATTTACAATTTGGGAAAGTGAATTTATTAAAGATGAGATTAAAACAAAACAAGTAAGAGTGTTATATTCGGCTATGCCGAATCTTATATACCCACCATCAAACCTCGTTTGAATCGAATGAAACTTATGTCGAATTTTATCTATATACTCGTATTTTTAGGCCAGTTATAAGCGTTAAAGTAATTTTCTGAAGGTAACCTTATATAGGGAGGTAGGGTCAATTATGGGTCGATCCTCATAAAATTTGGTAGACAGAATTTGGTTCGTATTAAATTTATTTGTGTCGAATTTCATCGCTACACTTGTATTTTTAAACCATTAATGAGCGTTGCAGTCATTTTCTGAAGGGGACCTTATATGGGGGGTAGGGTCAATCATGGACCGATCAACATAAAATTTTTTAGATAGATTTTGACTCATATGAAACTTACTTATGTCGAATTTCATCTATATACTAGTATTTTTAAGCCAGTAATGAGCGTTAAAGTCATTTTCTGAAGGGGACCTTATATGGGGGGTAGGGTCAATTATGGACCGATCCTCATAAAATTTTGCATAGTGATTTTGGATCACAAGAAACTTACTTATGTCGAATTTCATCGCTATATTCGTATTTTTAAACAAGTTATGGCTGTTAAAGCTGCTTTTCAAAGGGGCCACTTGTATGGGGGCTATCCGAAAACGTGGACCGATATTGCCCATTTTCAATACCAAACAAACCTTACCTATAAGAAATATTTATGTGAAATTTCAACCCTCTAGCTCTTTCCATTCGGACTCTATCGTGCTTTCAACAGACAGACAGACGGACAGACATGGCTAGATCGTCTTAGAATTTAATGAGGACCCAGAATATATATACTTTTGTGGGTCTATGACCAATATTTCGATGTGTTACAAACGGAATGACAAAATCAATATACCCCCCCATCTTTTTTGATGGTGGGTATAAAAATATCTATTTAATCTAGAAATAAAAGTATTTTTTTAAAGTGTTTTTTATTTTTCATAAGTTTTTAGAGTTATACTTCGACGGACCGGTTATTTAACCCTACTTCAATACCTGTCCATTGGACAAGCTACTTGGGGACACTTGGCTTTCCCATAGGACACGTCAATAGCTAGTAAAGTAACTAGTAAAACAGCTAGTAATGTGACTGACTCAGAAGAACCCATTTGGAGATTACCATCCATTGACTACTTTTGATTACCTCTTGAGAGTCTCAATGTAGACTGTAGAGTGACGATTGGCTTCCTCGTAGGACAAGCCCATGTTAAAATGGTTGGTCACCTGGGTAGTCGGGTGGCTAGGGGCCACCATAAGTGGTATGTCAAGTGGTTAGTTCGGGACTGTCCCGTTGAACTGCTGGGAGCTGTTTAACTTTTTTCGTATGTGTGTGGCTAGGGGCCACCATAAGTGGTATGTCAAGTGGTTAGTTCGGGACTGTCCCGCCGAACTGCTGGAAATAAACAGTTTTACTATTTCATCACTTTTTAAGTTTGAGTTTTATGTTAGTTGACTTTAATAAGCTGCTTAAGACAGTTCTCGCTAAAAATTTTGTTGTGTGAGTTTTATAATAAAAAAATGTTTTTTTTTGATTTGATTAAAATATAGTCAAATTTAAATAAGAAATATTTACAATTTCGAAGAATGAATTCATTTAAGATGAGTTAAAACAAAAAACTTTAGCAGAGATTACGGAAAAAATAATCTTTCCTTAATATAACAAATTCAGAGTCATTTATGTGTATTAATGAATTCCAAAGTTTAAAAGTCCGATTTTACTGAAGATACAAATGAGCAGCAATATTAAAAATATTTATTTCAATATATATTTAATCTAGAAATAAAAGTATTGTTTTTTATTTTTCATAAGTTTTTAAAGTTATACTTCGACGGACCGGTTATTTAACCCTACTGCAATACCTGTTCATTAGACAAGCTACTTGGGGACACTTGACTTTCCCCTAGGATACGTCAATAACTAGTAAAGTAACTACTATTGTGACTGACTTCCAAGAACCCATTTGGAGATTACCATGCTGCTTACTCTTCTACACAAAATTTTGACAGATCATATTACTCGTGTACTTGTGTAAACTAGCTTTAAATAATCAGGGATGTTGTGGAATCTGATTGAGGTTAGAATCAGAATTGAGATCGACAAAAAGTTAGTATTGGTGTCACAGAAACATATGTTATCGGTTTTATGTTCGAATCAGAAATATTGTCAGAATTTCGTGTAACAGAATCTGTTTTTATTGAATTTTAGTCAGAAATAATCTGATCAGTTGGCAGGTTTCAGATTTTTATTTTGTTTGTTTTGTTTTATATGTTAAAAATGGAATTGGGACAGAATGTAAGCTAAATTATTTTTTGTAAATATAAAAGACAAAGTTGTTTTTTTTTTCCATTTTTTTATTTATAACACAAATAGGATAAAGCATAGAAATAGCTCGGAAAAGAACTTATTCCTTAACTATATTGTGAGTTTCAATGATGTTCAAAAACATTCTAAAAGCTTTTTAATCAGACGAAATAAATCAATAAATCCTTAAAGTTGTTAAATTTTAATAAACCATTGCGACATACGCTGATTCCTTAATATTTTTAGTTTCACTTTTTCACTATTTGTTTCCTCCATCATTAAAAATAAACAAAACATTAATTAAACACGCAGCGCCTTGATTGAAGGAAAATCTACAGTATGGGTTTATTTTTTTTTTTTTTTTGTTTTTATATTTTGCAAAAATGTATAAAAAAAAATATTTAGAATTAAACAAAACAGAACATCTGATTCGAATATGGGTTTTGTTAATTTTTTTAATTAAAGGAAAATCAAGTCGATTTCTTGACACCAATTCAAATCAGAATCGATTCTGATAAATGACAATTCTGACTTGGATTCTGCAACAACCCTGAATATTATTTTAACGCTCTCAACGATTATTACATAATTTCATGCCATTAGAACAAACTATACCCAAGCTGCGAATATAATAAATTTACTCGCTTCGTTTCTAAGCTATTGTGCGCCTATAAATAAAAACCCAGTTAAAACATAAAATTATACAAACCTTCGGAGTTCTTCTTCACGTGAAAGTTGCTGTGATGCTAATGTCAATGGGTGGCGTTGATACATATTTGTGTAAACACCTATTCCTTGGTGATCTTTGCTCTGAATCTGCAATTGTTGAGGAATTTGCGATAACGGCATACATGTTTCGGGTTTAATGCACTCAGATTTTACAATTGAATCGGTTTTTATAGATTGTTTTGATGAAATCTAAAACTTTACAAAATAAAATATGTTTTTAAAAATATGCATTATTTATACCTGAGGATTCGACGATTTTACGTTGTCCGTGACACCAATATCTTCTTTTGGACGATCTTCTTTGTACGAAACAGGAGTCTGCTGCTGTGACTGGTCATTAGGGCTTGGAATGCCTGCAAATTTACTTTGTTTATTATCCTCTGATGTCGTAATCGAAGCAGATCCATAATTGGGATCAACATTGTAGGGATAGTTAGACGGCATATAGCTGAAATAAAAATAATTCATATTATCAATAAAAAATATTATTATCGAAATTATTAGATAAAACTTATATTTAAATAGGTAACAGTGCTATTTTCAGCGTATTTTAAAAAATATTTTATTAATTGTTTTATTTTTTTTTAATTTTAATTTTCTTTTCATTCTCTTAATTTTTCTAAACAAATCTTCCATCCCTTATTTTAGGCGTTAACTGTGACAAATCTGTGTATAACAAAAACAACCGTGTTTTTATTTATGGAATGAAGATTATACTTTCTAAAATTCATATAAATTTCGCAAACGTTTGCTGATGGTTTTGCTCATTATAAAGACTTTATTGAGTAAATTTAAAAGAATGTGTTTATAAAGGTTTAAGTTTTTGATCATTCATATGCGGTTAACCAAAAATAGGGTTTTAATACATATTTTGGTTTTTCGTGAAACGATTTTTTGAAACCTGTTTAACCAGTTTATCCCTTTTATTTGTGGCTCTGTTAACAGGTTTAAAATATTTGTAATTTTTAGGATAAAATTGTATGTTTTGTTTGGTTTTTTATTGTGATAAGTATTAGGCTTCATTCAGAAAACATGAACTGAAAAACGATTTTTAGAACATTATGACATTTATATAATAATGTTAATATCATTTTTCTTGTTTATGAATATAATCCTAAACTTTTTGCATAAATGTTAAAAATATTTTATGCGTATAAATGCATAAAATAAATAAAAATAAATAAAAACAAGTAGTAAAAAACAGTATGATTTTAAAAATTATTTATTTTTCATAGAGAAACTTTTATGGACCAATCCTCATAAAATTTGAAGGATAGATGTATTTTGGTATATAAACGTTAATTATGTTGAATTTCATCGCTGATCATAGTATTCTGTTTATGAAGATTTTCGCTCTTAACAAGAGCGTAAAAAATACAAAAATGTTATTTAGTTGCTTGAAAGCTTGAAAGCAACGAAGTAGGTTGATGTCACTTTGTTGCAGAAATTACATTATTATGGAATGCATAATAATCACTGTTGCTAGATAAAACTGGCATAAAATCGTCAAAACTGGTCTCAAAAATCGGCAAAATCGTCAAAATAACTTTTAAATCGTCAAGAAATCGGAAAAGCAAAAAAATAAATTATTTTTAAAGTATTATCGATAAGACGATGGAATTTATATTTCTAAAATTATGTTAGTTGTTCATTATCATTATTTTTACACAACGATATTTATTAAGAACCGTTTTTTGTCAGTAGACCAGGAAAAAATCGTTCTTCAGCCGGACTGCTGTATGTGAAACAAACTTTCTGCAGAAATATTTTTTTGTCAGTTTCGATTTAAATTTCTCCAGCAATTTTCTAGATGATTTGATGCAATTTAGCACATTTTATTTTTTTTTTTTTTCATTGTCTACAAAATCAAATTTGTTCTCAAACTGTATTGAACAATTTTCATGTATTATGAAACCTATTTTTTGGTTTATTTTCAATTTCAAATGGATTTTAAAGAATTCAGTAAGAAGATGTTAAATAAAAGAAAATTAATTTACAAATTAAAATCCAAAGGAAAACTTTAAATAAATTGTGTATTTTGTAAAAAAATAGATTTTAAGAAATTTTTAAAAACTTAATATATTTCAAACTACAAAATGTTTTTCAGACTACAATACATTTTCAAATAATACTTAAAAACAATAAAAAATTAATTAAAATCAAACACATTCAATGAATTTTTCATTAAATACTGGACGAATGGTGTGAATGTTTTTAGTTTTTTCATGTGGCATTGAATTATTTCGTTGCTTGATGTATAAAGTCATATAAAAAGTGATTGTAATAAAGGCAATGCACATTTGTATTATTGTCTAGTAAAGGCAATTCAAAATCAATGAATGGTCATAAAACGTGAATGGTTTCATTCTGTTCTCTGATTAGGGTGATCCCAAAATGGAAGTTGCTGATGTTCTCACCGAAAATAAAAATTTAATTCATTCTATTTTATTTATTTATTTATTTAAAAAAAGGTCCTTTTTAAGGTTTTTATGATTTTTATCACACTTCTTGCAAATAAACCATATGCAAATTTACATTCATATTAAACGTCTTTCAGAGATAACATAACATTACACAATTTCGTATACAACTCCAAAATTACTAAAAATGTCGTAATTTTTCGGAAAATTTTTAAGTTTTTAAATTTTTTACATAGAATTATTTAATGTAATTAATTAAAATTATATTATAAACCTTATATAATTTCACCGAAATATTTTTTCCTGTTATTGGAAATTCGATATGTTTTGTATTTTATTTAAATATTTTTAATCCTATCTTCTTCCCGGCATTGTGCTATAGCTATTATCTAACGTACCACAGTGGGGAAGAATCGAAATTTTTTGGAAATAAATCTGGCATTTCTAAACAGCTGATCCGATCGGTAAAAAATTTGGGGTGAGCGTAGCCAAGGAGTATTCGAGTTTAAGTTTTGAAGATGAACCCCGCAGATGCCCCAGGGACGGCGCTGTGGCGGCTCAAAGTAAGGTACCTACGACATGTAAAATTTTTAAACTCGTGCCATTTTTTTGTTTTTCATCCAAATACATATTTTTATATTTTCTGAAAGCGCTCGACGAGATCTTGAAAAAACATGCTTGGACATATTACTTATCTCTTATAATATCCGAGTTATAGGCATTTAAAAATTTAGTGATACAAAATTTACCATATCTTGGTCCGCCTTTTTTGAATACCGGGCGTAGTTTTAGACCAGAAAACTGAAAGCAGTTTTGGAAACCTCAATATGTTTTATATTTACTCCAAAAGTATTTTCCCAGCCCTGAAAGAAATGTGGACCCTATGGGCAAAAATGTAAAAAATCCCATTTTTGGGATTTTCATTCCTATTTTTGTGAATTGCGACATGCCCTTTGACCCTTTCAATTTTTTTTTTTTTTTTTTGCATTTTCTTATTTGAAATGACAAATTAAACAAGCGTTGATTGAAGCGTTTCATTGAGTTTTGTTCATAAATAAAGATTTTGTCTTATATTACATATTTGTTAAATTTCTAAAACTATGATTTATATCAAAATTTTAATAGGGTCGCAGATAGCTACAACAATTTAGTCCATATTTATCCCTTAATATCATTTTTTAGTTAGATATGGAAATTCTCGACCCTTTACAAAAAATTTCAAGCCAATATCTCAATTACATTCAAAAATATGTTCATTTAAACCTGTGTCCTTTAATTTCATCTTTTTCATATTTTAGTATTAAGTATGACAGAACATGCATTTGGTGTTGAATAAAATATTTAGACAATTTTTAAAAATTATTTAGTTAATTATTTTATTAAAGACTATAACATTGTATATACAATAAAAAAATTATAATTTTATTATGAGCCACGCACAACAACACCTAAATCACCCCACACAAACCACCTTTCCCGCCCACCGAAATATAAAACACAATTAATTACAATATCATCAGTTAGTATAATAGCTTTTTTTATTTGAACTGTTTATCTTAAACATAATACAATTAATTCTTACAACCTACTTATATAGTTAATTCCTAACACTACTTATTTTCTATAAAATAATCTGTCATATCGGTATACATATCCAGAAGGTAATATAAGTCCTTTAAATCTTCCTTGTTTTGAGATGATAGAGTTTCATAACAAATCCATCTTTTTCGCATAGATGAAAGAACAGGATCAGAAGATAGAAGTAAACTATTAAAAATATCTTCATTCTGTGATTGCCTGGAGCATTTTCTTGAGCTGAATAGTTGAACATGCTTAAAATCTCGATTCCTCGCTTCCTGGGCTTCTTCTGTTAACTCTCCAAGTGGAAGAATATTCGATTCAATTATTATTTGACCATTACACAATACTTTGTGTACTGTTGGTGTTAGTTCCCTCCATGGATACAGAGATACAAGTAATTTAGAAATTTCAGATGTATATTCCCCAAATCGATTTCCATTAATTTTATGTTTACTATTCAGTGCCATTAAAATAGTGTTAACTCTTCGAAGCAACTCCTTGTCGATTCCAGTTATTTTTGAAGTAATTTCAAAATCACGAAAAAACCTTCTCGCCGTATTACCGTCATTTGTACTACCGCAACTTGGAAGTGGTTTGTCGATGTTTAATCCCATCTGAACTTTAAATTCTTCTTGGATTCTGCTTTTTTCCGCAGCTCTCAGTTCTTTCAATTCTTCATTATTTTTTGTTGATTTAGTAAGATTCTCTGGCACACTTCTATATTTGAGGTCGTATGCTATGTGCAAAAAGTAATCCAAAAATCGTATTCTGGCATGAAGTGGTGAAATTCCGAAAGACAGGACTTCTTCATTAATACTTCTGCTTGCAAGGCGCTCCTGTTGATGTGTTGTAAGTTGAGATTTCCGTAGTAGTTTCCATCCAACTACAAAATTTTAATCGAAATATCTTTTGATTTCCATCCACAGACTTACTTTTTACATCAAAAAGTTTTAAATTTTTGATATGCCTGTTTTGTCTACTTTTCTACTATATGTAGTTTTTATATAATTTGAAATGTCTTCAATTCTTTCTGCCCCTTTTGAAGATACACTCCATAAAACGGAACACAACTCTTCGTACTTTAATGTAATCTTCATTGTAGATTTATTAAATACGGTATTTAAAATCTGAGAAGTTTACTTATATACCAATCCTTGTCATTTCCGATACATGTATTCCAAAGTAAAAAATTACGAATTGTCTACCTATTAACATTTAGGACTATATTACTATAACCTGTAATTCAGTCATTGATATTTCTTATTAGTGAATGAATCGAAATTATCATTACCTGTATATTTTTACCTACATGATCATAAACGAAACAGAACGAAATGATCTGTCGAAAAAATTTAAGTAAAAAATAGTTATAAATTTCTGAAAATTTAAGCATAATAGGACCTTTCAATTATAAGGATAAGCAAACAAATAGAAAATAGGTAAATAT